TAGAAGGCATTACGAATTACAGATGATCGACCTTTCTGACAGCGCTGCTGTGGGTTTTAACTCTACATGCAGTCTCTTTTTTGTGATGTGGGACATGTGGACTTCCAGCTCCGCCTGAATCCTGCAGAAGCTCAGATATGCAGAAGTTCTGGGTAGAACACATGTGCTCCCCTCCTGTCCATCAGAAGTCCAAAGCAACACACTGGGGAACATTTGGCAAATAGGAAATAAAAAAACTTTTATTTCCGAGTTCCAGTTTTCATTCCTTTCCAGCTTCTAAGGGATTTTCTTTCAGGACTGAACTGCATCTAACTTTATCTACTGCTCTTCATAACACTATTTGTTCTCTCTGAATCAAACACATGGTGAAAAATATTGAGAAAAATCAATTGTTTTCAGATTTTTACTTGTTCAAAATTTTTAACAGCTATAATTTTCTTCCACTTCATAGTTTTGCACAACTTAGTTTTGCTCTATGAGATAAAATTCCAGATAAATACATTGAAGTTTGTGCTAACAGGATGAAAAGTTAAAGGGTTATGCATACGTTTGCAGCCTTCCAGTCTCCAGGCTGTTTCTAACTCCAGATCACAGTTTGCTTCACTGATTGATCGTATTTATTTGTGTGATGCAACTATACTGGTTTTTATAGAAAGCTCTTTTTATAATTCTTATTCAGAAATCTTTCTCAGTGAATCACACAACCATTGGGGCCATTAGATTGATGCATGTTTCATGATGGCCGACTTGATGGTTGGGGTTATTCTAGTTCGTGGGAGTCACTCTGTCCTCTTATAACAAGCTTAAGGTGCTGTATTGATATTAGTTAGCTAGTCAGCTAACTGTACCTGCTTCCAACAGCTTCACTCAACTCAGTCGGTTAGTTTGGGGGGAAAACTGTGAAAAGGTTTTTGCGTTTTGCTGGTTTGCTGCCATGATCCTAACACACCTGTAGCTCCGCCCAGCAGCAGCAGGTCTCCTTCACAGGTGGAAACCCAGCGCAAGCGTCTTAGCTCTCATGTTGCGTTTAAAGGCGGCTCGGAAAAACAGGTTTCCACATGTTAACAACGGATTAAACAGTTTTAACTACCGTTAAAAGTGACAGAGGACACAGATATGGGAAGTGTGGAAGCCCCTACTGTATCAAATTGACATAGGAATAACAGAGAGTTGGCCATTCTAAGGTAAAAACCCAGCGCATACAGTGTTCATGTTTTGTTTTTGTTTTTTTCATCCAGACGGCGTCCCCCTCACCCCCACCCGCAATGGTAAGGCGCCCCCCCCTCGGGGCGCGCCCCACAGTTTAGGAACTTCTGCTTTAGTGGAAAATTAGCCTGTTCATAAATGTTGAGAAATCTTTCAGTGACAGTAATTGGTTAATTAAGGCTAAACAAAGATTGTACTCTCAGCTTTATTTTTTACATTTCAAGGAATAAACTACCAAATCACCATGTCAATCGCTAGGAGGCTAAAGCTAATGTTCTCTGTTGTGCTCCTGCAGCACTTGTTTCCTAAAACTAAATGGACAAAGATTTTGATTAAGTTGTAATGTATTTATGTTTGGACTGTTGCATGTAATAGGGGCTCTTGCATTTAGCTGATGGTGCTTATTTATTGATTCTTTATTGATATACAAAATACCAAAACTCATTGGTAAATTCAGAAAGCTATTTGCAGACAGAAAATCAGCATGGACCTGACTTTGAAATAAAGTTTATAACTACTACTTTAAAAGTTTGTAAGACTGATTTTGTCAGACTTGTGTTAATTTGAATAACAAAAACAATCAAAATATTTTCCTTTCCCTTTGTTATCACTTTTTTTTTTGAGAAAAACGTGAACTGTCTGATCTCAAACAACAATGTTCCAACATACAAAATATTTAATGAGATTTTGAGATCGCGTCTACAAGTCAACCTGAAGGAAACTGGTAGATTTTATTTAGTGATAAGTTGTAACAAGCTTCAAAGTTATCCACTTCTTTATACTGGTGACTCAATAAAATCCCAGAAAATGAATTAAAATGGTTGTAAAGTGACAAAGACATGTTGGGATGTTAATGTTTTTAATAAAGTGCATTATTAAACAGCCACAAAATTGGGTATTTTCTAACAGCATATCCATTATCAACCTCAGGATGATGCAGATATTTCTGTCATGTCATCAAACCAGGGATTAACTTTCAGTGTTTTGTGTTTCATTAAGTCATTAGTGGTATTTGATTATATGTTACAGTAAAACCACAGATAGTGTCACCATGGTAACCAATGTCGATTTCATCAGGTTTCACACAACCCAACCAGGAGGCATCCAAAGACCCTTACAGCCCACCGTACAATAGCTGTGGTGAAGTTTATGCTGTTTATCTTCCTCTTACTCATCATGTCTAATAATGTTCACTGCTTTTTTATACTTGTACAGCAAAACCTTTTTGTTAAAATGTAAGCACATCTTAAAATGTACAATTTTCATATTTTTTGTGATCTTTCTTTACTACTGATTATTTTTCAGACTGTGAATCTGAAGCTTTATAGTATCAAAAAGAAAACGGGTGTAGCTTTGTTGGCAAAATAATTTCAAAACTAGAAATTAGTGACGATTTTAGGCAAACTAAATATCTGAACACAAGAGGGCGCTCTTGTTTTATCTAAGATCTGGAGACTTACAGTACTTCAATATATTTGCAAATAGGTTTTGTTAGAGGTTTGCTTTTTTAGGCACTTTTTTCATACTGACCCAGACAAGCTGAACTTTGATGTTCATTTTCTTATCAAACAGTAATTGAATTGAATTTATCCCTGCAAGAGATTCTTTTTTCCCAATTATTCACTCCTTTCCAACAACTGGCCGCAGCTCACTACTCAGGTCTAAATGTTTTCACAGCTTTGTATTAAATGATAAGTTCAGGGACAGTTATTAAAATCAGAGTTATTAGTTTGGCTGCAGATCTGTCTTGCTGTAGATTGTAAGTTTTATATGTTTGTACAGCAAGAAAACTTCATACTTCACTATAACTTATATTTCAGCACATGCATGAAGACGGGTCTGTTATTTGTTTTACCAGCAGCAGAGGGTTTAGAAATATTTGTCTGAAAGTTTGGGTTTTAACATTTTCCTCAAAAGTTTCCATATTTTTTTCCATTGTATTTTTAAAGTGTATGTTCAGATTATTGTGGCCAAATAGAAATGATCTAACTGCTAACTGGTGTTACTTTATAAATCACTGAATGCCTGGTTGGTTGTGAATAATAGAAGAGGAAACAGAGTAGATCTTCAGAAACAATCCTGGCCTGTGGTGTAAATGAGACACATCCTCTCCAAACTCCACAGTGATGGACTAATGTCAGGTTCATTGGTTTCTGTTGTGGTAATGAATAATTCCAGCTTTCTCCCATTTCTAACCTCTGTTCATATCCCTCTTAACCACTTCTAGACCCAAAAACAGCCAGTGCAGGAACCTGAGACTGACTGATCCAAATGTAGAAGTGTTGTTGAAATTTAGAGTTTTGATTATTTTGAAGTGTAAAAGCAGGACTGCTGAGGGCATTCTTGTTTACATGAACATATTTGTACAATGAATGGTAATCTAATGAACAGAAAACACTGGAAAAGCTTTACGTTCTTCCTGTGAACATCGACTTAGAGCTTGAATCAGAATATACCTGAAAATGTTGAGGATTTTAAAATGCTTTCATCAAATCATTTGTCACAGCCAGTCGGTCTGTTACCACTCTGACTTGTAAAAGAATCCATCAGTCTGCTAAGACCACACTGGACAGGATCAATATATCACCATGGAGCAGCTCTCCAGCTCTCTGCATTGTTCGACTCCGTCTCCGTCACTTTGACAAAGTTGCTCACCGAGAAAATTCTCGTTTTTCCATCAAACTAACTGCTCTGCTTTATTCCAGCTAGAGCAACAGATCAATCCCTCTGGCTTGACTTTTTCCCACCATGCCTTGTTCCTGGAGGAGCAAAAGGAGGAGGTGGTGTACAGGCTGATGACCCCTCTCCATCACTCCGACATGACAAACAGAGGTGGAGTCCACTGGAGCGGCAGCCTCCAGCTAGGAGTTGGAGGAGGAGGAAGATGAAGAGCAGAGTCTGTAGAGACATTAAGGACAGAGGGGTAGATGAAGGACCAGAGTAAATGATGGAGGAGCAGCTTAGCTATCTGTTTGACCACATAGTTGACAGTGTTTTATTTCTTCTGATAATCTTACTTTGTGGCACCGCCTTGTTATCAGGTTATCATGAATAATTACCATGACAACAGCTGAACGGTGTGGGTACAGCTTAAAGTAATTTAGTGTCTGATGAAATTTGTTTAGATTTTGCTTCAGGCACAAACGGACTGAACTAATTCAAGCACAGACATGTACATGAAGGAATCTGGTTCACATATAAGACAAGTTTATACTTGTGTAATACATTTCAGCAACACGGCTGTTCAAAGTGATTTACACCAGTGTTATACGTTTTATACGTTTCCCTGCTTCGACACTCCCATTCAGATGACTGCAATTCAGCAAAACCTGTTAACAGTTATTTCTTGTTGCATACCTTAATTTAAAAACTAACATTATAAATGCAATGAAAAACATAAAACAGTTCAAAACCCTGTGTATGTTATTTAAGGGGCAGTTCATTGCTCCTTAAATAAAAAAAGGAGTTTTGGAAGATTGTTTCCTTGGATTTTCAATACGTTTTAGGTGAAAATGTGAAATGTGTTTGGTAAAAATCCAAGAGCTACTTTTTTCTCCTGCATTCAGTCCTTCTTGCCTCTTTGTTTTCTGACCTGATTTAATCTCAGGCATGTAGAAATTCATATTGGATGGATCTGGTTGCTTTGTAAAATGTTTTGAGGATTAATTTGGTTCAATAAACATAAAACCAACAAACAACCTGAGAACTTTTGCTCAAGTTTTCCTTTCATAAGCCTCCAATCACTTCATCTGAACAAGTCAGAGATGTTCTTTAAGAAGAAACTGTACACAAGATTGTTTGATATAAAATCTTTATTTATGTTTTTTTTTTACATAAAAGCCAGATGAATAGTACAATGCACCAACTGTAACATTCAACATGTCTTCACTTGCCAGGTGAGAACAGCATGTCTGTTCAAAGGTTTCTATTAAATGTCTGACTTCTACAAAAGTTGAAAACAGCTCTAAGCACGGCGGTGGTGCAGAGGTAGAGCGGGCGATCCAGCCCTCGACGCAGCCGTCACTGGTTCGAGTCCCGGCCTGTTGACCTTTGACTCTTGTCTTCCTCTCACTCATTACACTCATTAACCACTTCCCTGTCAGTTTACTGTCAAAGGCCATTAGAGCCAAATAAAATCAATGAACTCATGAAACTCTACATAATGAGCAGATATATTTAAGGCCAAAAACAGATGATAAACTGTTGAGTAAATAGAAAAATAATGTTTCATTGAACCAAACATGAGCAGAAAATGATCAGGGTTGCAACAGTTCAGTGATACTCAGCACAATTATTCAATTTGTGTTTATGAATGCATAAAACAAGAACTGATATTTCACAGTAAACACACCAAACAGAATAAAATATACAAATATACGTGTTTTAAAGTGAATTACATTGTTTTTGTTGTTTTTCTATCATCTATCAACCCCCATTCATGGATCTGCAGAGGTTTCTGTGTTCAGGCGAACCCGGACCGTCTCGCCTACAGTATCCATGGTAACAGTCTGCTGATTGTTGGACAATTTACAGCAACACAGTGGAGCTAAAAGCTTGTCTACCAACCCCTTCCTGAGGAATACATACAACATCGAGTCTGCTATAGGACTAAGAGGGACAGTAAAAGAATATACTTTAAAGAGTACATTCATGTGGTGGGCGTCAAATGGTATCAGACAATAAATTATAACAGGCAGGAAAAGCAGGATGTAAATGAGCAGAATGGCAACAACAATAGAAACTATTCTTCGTTTCTCATCAGCAGGGACACTGTGAGCTCCAGATACAACTTTAATAGTCCCAGCCACAAAAAAGATGAAACAGGGAAGAGGGAGGAGAAGGAAAATACCAAAAATTCGGACAATAATGATAAAATAATGGTCATCTATGATATCTAGAATAGCACCTACAATAAAAAGACCAGCAAGCAACCAAACTGCAACACAGACCAACACAGTATAAAGTTTCTTCCTCCGGGATTCGTACCACATTGGCTTGGCGATGAACAGATATCTGTAATGCAATTTAGCTCATGTTAGTGTATTGATACAATAACAACACAAACCTGAACAATTCATATTATATCAATTCAAATTTATACCAATCAAGAACAATCATAAACACCAGGGTGTCCCTGATTCAACACAGCTGAATCCAAATACTTAATTACTTCCTGCTATCAAGTTCTGCAGGAACATGAAACTACCAATTCTTTTGACTCAGCTGTGCTGAAACAGGGAAACATTTAATACGTAAAACACACAGGCTCTTGAGGACTGACTTTGGACACCACTGAACTGTAGACAGATTCAGACAGAGTGACTTTTAGTGAAATATAGACTAAAATTATTTATGGAGAAGGTTGGATTACAGTAATGCAATGATCTCAGACAGAAAACCAACACAGTAAATAGATAGGCAGATAGATACCTGTCCAATGAGATGCACACCATAAATCCAACACTGGCAATAAAGCCAAAAAAGAAGAAGATGAGCAGAACTCCAAATCCAACTCTCATTAGAGTTACAATTAAGCTGATCAGCTGGATGAGATCAGAAACCAGAAGGTTGATGACAAATACCTGAGCTGGTTGTTTCTTTGGCTGTTAAAGAAAAACATGACAACGTTCAATAAAAATCCAGGTAATTCATTCCAAGTTTAACCTCAACATGCAACATTTCAAACTGCAGCCACAGAACAATATTTAACAACAGAGCTGTGAGAAAACCAGCCAGATGGTTAAAAACAAACATGTTCAATAAAGATAAATGAAAAGAAGTCAGAGTGTACTCACCAGCAAACACGCAAAGACAATGGCCACTACGGTTATAAGAGTGCTAATGCCAATAATGGAGAAAAGTGCCAAATGAAAAGTAGATAAGTCATCCATTTGGTCCAATTCTCAGAGTAACTTCTGTCAGAGAGAAATCAAAGTAACGGCTGTTTCTTGACTTTGAGATTCTGACCACTTCCTTTTTGTTTTCAGAAGAAAAAGCTGATGATGATGTGATGCAGTGAAGTTTGAACAGGAACCCAGTCTGCTTTGAAAGTCACTGAAAAAAAACAAGAACATGAGGTTAGTATGTGAATAACTGATTGATGAAAACAGGTTGATTCTTAATCTAATCCAATGTTTCCTTCATTTTTACTGATGTGTGTTTTCTTTTCTTTTTTTACAGAAGCCTGTCAACCTCTCAGCATTAATGTCTATAAAGCTACAGTGAGATGGAAAAAGGTAAACTGTTGCTTTTGCATCTGATTTTTTAAGCCAATAATAAATTGCACTATAAAACATGAAGATCTCAGCTGAAGACGTTTGGCTGAGTCCTTTACGCTTTTAGGCCTCTGGATGATTCTGGTCTGTTTTGGTAAAATCAATAATATCAACAGATGATTGAATATTTAATTCTATTTGATCATGCAATCATTTTAGATCATCAACATGTCTAATAATCTCATTGTTCTCATGGATCCAGAGAGAAACAAAGGCAACTATCCCTGTTGCCATGGTTATGAAAGCTTTGACTCAAAGTTAGTTTGATTTGGTTACTGAAAACCTTATCATAGCCTTCAGTTTAACCACATACTGATCAGAATAAAGTAACATAGAAATGTCCTTGTTGCTGCTGAAATGAAATATTTAGTATCTTATTGAGTCAATAGTAAATTTTGAACTTTAAATTTTAATGGATTTGTCTGATAATATTTTAAAGGATTTCTTCTCACAGTTGTTTTACTGTTTTTACTGCAGAAATTTATTTCACTTTTCTCTGAGTTGAATCACAACATAACTAAAGATCCTCGATTTAAGCTGATTATGTTCTCATGTTATTGAAATCAAATTCTTCTATTATTTAAAACTAATAGATTATTTGGTAAATTTAATTTTTATAGGAAGAAGTTTGAAAGAACGACTATATTACTGTTTGTCTTCTGCTTTATGTTATGATATTCCAGTGCTTTGGAATATCATAACATCGATATGCTGACTAAACTTTATCAGCATATTTTAGTATGCTGAGAAATACAGTTGTTGAGGGAGACATGAATGATGTGATGATCAGTTAGTTATTTAAGCTTTACTGATGGATAAAACCTGTGATCTTCTTCAGTTTTTCATAAGAAAAGTTATATTCTGTTTAACTGAATATCAATAAACTGTCATTTCCTCTGTCTGATACTGGTTCATTCTTACAAAGCATTAAGGTTAGAAATTGAGGTAGAATATTTTATTGAGTTATAACCATAACAAAATTACCTTAATGAAATTCAGTACATATGGTAAATATGTATCAGATTTACCTGATACATATTTATAAGGTAAAACTGATGAAAGAATTTAATCATCAAGCGCTACAAAATGTTTATTATTATTATTATTATTATTATTATTATTATTTTATAAAAAAACATGGTAGCATCATTCTTGTTTTTAATAAATGAATGATTTTCTAATAAAAGAATGTTATAAACTAGCTTAAACATTAAACATGCCAGACATTATGATGAAGGAATTTGGTGCATTTACACACGTTTTATAAATGAATGTAACATTCTGACGGTTTTAGTTTTTGTCAGTAAAATCATATTTCAGTGATTCTTGAGAATAGGAACAAAACAGGTCCAATGGATAAAGCACAAAGTTTGAATAAAATATACACAAAATATAATTCACTAGTTTGTCACCACCTTCAGTTCTGTGTCAACTTCGTCAGATGGCCTTTTTGTTGTTTTTGGTTTTAAATAATATTTATTTTGTTTCTTGAGAAGCATTTGTATGTAAAATGAGTAAAAATATCACTAATAGGGTCATTAAAAATTATTTTTTATTTATTTTTATCAGATAGTGATGACAACGCTCTAGGTCAGGTCGATCACAAATGGCATTTTTTTAAAAAAATGTTGCAACTAGGAGCCTGCACCTTAGCATCTTTACATTTCCTAAACATTATTTGTCATATTTGCATACATAAGGTTGAGAAATAACAAAACAAAAATTATGGGAAAATTAAAACCCATTTTGTCCCTATTCTCAAGAACCACTGATTTACATGATTTTACATTTTCAAAATATGCTTAATTCTGAAGTACCCCTACGATTTGGCCACTTAAATAATGTTTTCTGGTGATCGCATTAAATATAACCACTGTGGTTTTTGGTATTGTCAGAGAGCAGTGGAGTTTTGAGAATCTCCATCTTCACATCACAAGCTGCTGTGGCCTTGGTGACGACTGAGGATCTGCATCTTCACATCCCAGAGGACCATCTTGTCTTTCCAGAGGATGAGGACACAGACCTGCAGGAGGGTGTTGGGTTCCCAGCATGTGAAAGGCCTGACCTCGAGGAGGGGGTGTCAAGAAAAAGTCGAGCTCAGCCCACTTCCCCATGCTGGAGATTTTAGTTTAATAATAACAATAAATAAAGTTATCTTTAAAACTAATTACGCAGGTGATATCAAGACCCAACAGTAGAGTCAGACGGTAATAAAATTAATCTGGTTGTGTGTTGTTATTGTGTCCTGCTTTAATTCTACTTTTTTCTATATAATCATAAAAAATCATAGTCAGGCAGAAAGAGAGTTATGGAACAGGAAGAGCAGGTTTCCTGGAGAAAGAGGAAGTTTCCAGCCTGCAGTGATTAAAAATAGTTCAGATTGCTCATTCAGGGCATTAAAGGTTTAAAGAATAAAATCTAAACATTTTGAGTAATTGGATAAAACCCAGAGTAAAATACTTGAATTAATAATGATAACTTATGATTAAACCGATAATTAATATTGGTTTAACCAATGGTTGATGTTGGTTTGATTATAAGAATATTTACACTTACTCTTATACTTATGGAAGTACTCTTCCTGTACTGGGAGCCTCCTGCTGCTGCAACGCCTTTTTCATCATCAGGCCAGTTCTGGGGTTCAAAATGCCAAACTCCGTCCGTCTCTCAAAGTTTTCCTTTTTTAGTTCACAGTGTCAGCATTAGGGAAAGATAGACCAGATTATTGATTTTACTTATTTGATTATTTCTGTTACTGATTTAAGCTGTACTGACCTTGCAAAACTGCCTTACTAATAAAATAATTAACATTAAGAAAATCTAAAAGATGTTGTGGACATTCAGTTAATGAGTCACCTTAAAGTTCTTTGATGGTTGTAAAATAGCTATGAAGTTTGATTCTGGGAGGAGAAAGTGGAAAATGTTTTATAGGTTGCTTTTAGCCAAAACTAAAACAACACCCTTGGGACTCGCCCGAGTCACTAAAACCAACCTGGTTCAATAACAAGTGCAAGTTGTAATAAGAGAAAGAGCGACCGTTAACAGGTGTGCTCTGTGAAACTAGCTGATTCCGGGCTGCTCTATCTGGCTAATTCACAGAGTGAAAAAGGGTGGGACATCTGGATGGAGGTCGTTAGAAACCAGGCTAGTCTTTCTCGACGCCAGCTTAAACAGAATGTCCTCTATATTCTCATCTGTAGTAATACTCAGGAGTTAGAGGCTCCTTGGACCCGTTAGACGGAGAGCTGGAGAGCAACATCTTCCTCCTCTCAGAAAGGGAAGTAGAGAGAGAGAGAGAAAGGGGGGGGAGGTGTTGCGCAACAACAAACAGTATGTAAAGATGGAGCATGTCCAGATGGACATAGCTGACGGTCACCGGGTTAAAAGACAGAGAACTCTATCAATCCTACATCACGGATCCGGAGTAGTTTCTGCATGCTGACCGTGCGCTGTCTTTTTCACGATATATCTGCAAATGTTGCACTGAGCTGACTTGTTCAGCTCTCTAAGTGGAGCCACACACCGACTAACGAAGCAAACGCACAATGCCCAGGTTGCGCAAACATTTCCGGATTCATATTCCTTGGAATTCCGCAGCTTTTTCAGACTGGAAATTGAAACTATGAATCTAAATGTAAAACATGCCACAAATTCGGTTAGTCTTAATGTTAGTCCCGGTTCCAATCATTTTCTGACATTTGATATCCAACCTTTATTGATTTCTCAACATCACATCTTATTTAATAATAATAATAATAATAATAATAATAATAATAATAAAAAATAAAAATAAAAAAAAATAATCTCACCCGTTTGTTTTGTGCAAACGATCTTTTCTTCTGTGGATTTATAGACAAGACATTAGTTTATCTCCAGTACCATCTGAAGGACTAAACAGAAAGCAGTTTGTTTTGTAACAAGCCACACCCCGTTCTTTCCAACTTCTTCTTGTCTTTTTTTTCTCTCACTTCTTCTACTTTGATGTTTTCTGGCGGTTGGCAAACGACGACAAATGTTGCCTTACTGCCACCTGGTGTGGAGTGTGGACCAGAATGCCACTAACTTTTTAAATTCTATTAAATAACTGCGTTGATTTAAGATAACGAAATATTATCTGATAAATTTTATTTTTCGAATAATTTCTAAATAAATCAAATAAAACTAATTTACCTTTAATTCTATTTAATTTTTGAATCACCTGTTGTCTTTCATCCTCATGATTTTAACAGAATAACTTAGCATGCTCTATTGTCTCATCAACTCCACAACTGTCACACTTACCATTGCAATGTTTCCCAAAAATAAAAAGAGTGAAATAAAGAGAAATATTTATCTCTCTTCGTTCTCCCTCTGGTTCTCGCATATAAATATAATTCTTAAGTTACCCCTCAGTGATTCTTGAGAATAGGGACAAAACGGCTTTAAATTTTCCCATATTTTTTTATTATTATTGTTTCTCAACTTTATGCATGTAAATATGGCAAATAATGTTTTGGAAATGTAAAGATGCTAAGGTGCAGGCTCCCAGTTGCAACATTTTTTTAAAAAATTACATTTTTAATCGACCTGACCCAGAACGTTGTCATCACCATCTGACAAAAATAAATAAAAAATTATTTTTAAT